AGCCTGTTCAGGTGGGCATTGATGTACAAACACACGCAACGAACGCTAGATACGGTAGCAATATAGTAGTAGACTGAACAATAGACATTACCAGAAAACTTCCGTTTACGGGTCAGGCAGCACCGCCGAAGTAATTCTGTAGGAATTACCTTGCTTAGATACTTTAGGGGCAATATTGAGGAATCATCATGTTCGCGAGCCTTCTGCAGGAATCTTAATGATGTCTTTAAAGGCTTCCCCAATGCTATCCTGCAGCGAATCCCTCGCATTACTGTACATGTAGTTCTGTTTAAACTCACTGCAAAACATACGGTAAAGTCTAAGTTCTAAGTTGTGCGTACCTAAACACGCAGGCGTATCGCCCCCTCTTAGCTAGGATTGCCCCCCCCATCACCAGATCCACCCTCTGATGAGTCTAATTACAAGGGTTTCACGAAATAGGAGTTACACATACAGGTTCCGAAGATGAGAGTATATTTTTCCGTGCAAGCACACGCTGCAAAACACCCGGTGAAGTCTCCTCAAGCTTAACGAGGGGTCCTGCAGCGAACGCTAGATACGGTACCCTTAGGAGCCAGGTAGGGTAGTAATGGACTGAACAATAGGCATTACCACAGAATTCCCGGTGAGGTCTCAATCTGCACCACCAAGGTAATTCTGCGGGAATTCCTCATGCTCAGATAATTCAGGGAGCTGGGGGGGGGGTTAAATTGTAGCTGAGCTCACTGCAGGAATCCCGGTGAAGTCTTTAGAAGCTTCACCAAAGCGGTCCTGCAGTGAGCCCCTTGGCATACTGTTAGGTCGGGTTGGTATTTTAAAAACTCACTGCAAAACACCCGGTGAAGACTAGCGAAGCTTTACTGGGAGATTTTACAGCGAGTTCTATCAGAATTCCAGGGGTGTTCTGGTAAAATCCGATTGGGGTAAAGCATTAACTTTAGAGAATAGAAGAAGTAATCACAGCTGGAGGAATAGGTAGGTATTTCAGAAGTAGAAGACGATATGCTGTAGAATACTTGATGATGTATCCGTATGCTATTTGGTGGTATTTATAAGGTATTTGGGATTCCCGCCCGGTTGGGCGGTGCGACCATACCCTGCAGCAACACCGTTGGCCCACGTTTTCACACTTCAGAAACGATCGTTCAAGGTCGGCGCTATACGTTTAATGGCTCAGCCTCAAGCACGTCTCGAGGCTATACCACTTGAGCTATCATGACATAGCTGATTTGAGGGGCCAGCGTTATGATCTCCACCTCATCGAATATCCGAGTGGAAACTGCTACCTATAAGTACAGATTTTGAGGTGGGTACCGTCTGAAAGGCGAGATTACCGCGACCAGTCAACTATGAGGGAGGCCACTATGTAAAAAGTAACGAACAAATGAACAGATAAATAGACAACTAAGTATTACAGTATTCCCTTTAACTTCTGTTGCACACTATGAAGAGTTCTTGACGGATATAGATTCTCATAAAGGTTATGGTCACTAAATTTGTGGCTGATGGCAAACTAAATGGACCCAAATAGGTATACTGCTCAAATTTAATTACTTGAAGGTTTAATTTCCCATATTTTCATGCGCAGCCAATTAGGCGTAAGATATTGTGTCTCTGTCGAACACTGCGGACACATCGTAGTTTACGCACGAATGTTTCCGTTTTCTTTGTGTTCAAAAAGGAGCGGTACTGTTTTCCATAAAATTTGTTTGTTCAATGTCATCTGCTTTGTTGAAGATGCCTTTTTTGTGACATCCTTTGACAAGCTTGGGGAATAGTATTTTGTTCGCCTGCCGTAACCATTTTACTTTATTGGCGAATTGCCACGTCCATTGAGGTTCTGGTTTGCTTCAGATCAGGTTCAGGTTTGCTTTTTCTTTGTTCAGTTTGTCCTTGATATGTCCTCAGGTTCTTTCTGGTTAGACTGGTGAAATTTCCTTCACCAGTCTATTTTTCTTTTTTTTTCTCCAAGTTTTTTTTTCCAATTTCAGCAACACGATCAAAATTTCGGTACTATTCAACTACTACTACCACAAAACTCATTTTTCTTTTTCTGAAACTTTGCTTGCAAGAGTGATTCGAAGAATTAGAATCATTTACGAGTATCTCATTAGTTATTGTTTGTTACTGATGCCAGCGCCATGTGGCGCATTCTGGTGCCAGTTTGTCTCCACCACCTTACGCCCAAAATTACGAATAGTTCTTAGCGCTGGCGCCACTTGGTGCCAATGTGGCGCCATCACCTTTTCCACCAAAATCGCTGTAGTTTCGCATACTGAGATTATTTGGCCGTGATCTTGAATAAAGCATTCGTCTGGCACAAAATCGCTGACCACCCGCGTAGACGACGGCACCACGTGCTTGCTTTGGCCCTGGCGTGTGTATAACGGTTTCCTGGTTGTTCCCTGTCAGGCAGTGTGCCATGTTAGAGGAAGACGGCCAGGCCAGGCAATGTCCTTCTTGGTTGCCTGCGATAGTGATCTTGCTCTTTGCTAGGGCAGTATTAGCAGGGGAGGGAATCTTCGTATCGAGGAAAGAGCGCAGACATGCATATGTGGTATTTAAGTGCTGGAGGTCAATTACTCCTAAGGTTGGGCTTTCAGCGAATTTGATGTTTTAGGGCGCAGGCGCGAGACAGTTCCGGGCAAAACGGACGCGATACTCATGTTTAGGAGGACAAACTATCTTTGGGGGACAAGTTCTCAGCGTATGGCGCCGGCGCCTGTGGTCGCTCGCAGTTCCATGTGAAGCGGATGAGATATTCCTGTTCAGGAGGTCGAACCACCCCCGCAGGCGAGTTTTCTGCCACGTCTACCCTCTAAAAAACGTTAAAGAACTGGCAGATTGGGGTAGAAACAGGTAGTGCCAAAATTTCCGGATGTTCTCAAAATGGAAGCACAGGCGCTATTCTACGAGGGGTGGGCATATTTAGTGCAGGGTAGCAACTCTCCAAAATGTTTCTCCGCACAAAGAAGGTCGATCGCATTCTTCCCTTTATGCTGAGGCAAAAAATTCTCCTCTTCTCGCCACGCTGGTGTTTCGTCGCCTATCGAGAATGAACTGTCTCAAACTCACAGCTGGAATAGCGCGTGCTGAAGAAAAAACCTTGTCGAGGGAGGCGGCTTTGTAGTCTTCTAGTTTTGGGTCTTCTGTAAATATTCGTGAAACCTAGCGGGTTGTGTGCTTTAGTTTACCTTCACTTTTTATTTACGTTGTAGCATGCTGTAGCTATTCGTTTAAGTTCATTTCAATATGTCACACAGATTACCATTAAAATTTATCTGAACATTACGTAACTTCGTTGTCATGAGTTTTCAGGAAATTTGGATTTCTTTTTATTCTAATTTACTTCAGATTTCCATGGTCTCTTAGGTGGAAAGTCGACGTATAGGATTTCTTTCACCACCAGATGACACATCTGCTTCTACCAAATGGATATCAGGCGCTTGGACCGAGTCGTAGAAATACGGCTGGTGCTATCGTGTTGGAGAAGCTCTTATGGCTTTTCTCGATCAGAAATGTCGCTTTTATGATGTTTTTGAGTATCTACACGATATTCATATTGCTGTTGCGGGGCGGACTTCCATTCGAAGAGTCGCAATTGCGTCGTGGAGCGAGGAATGTTATTATCAGGTTTCTTCTTCAGCTTTATACTCTACTATTTTAGGAGCTAAAGTAGTTGGATAGAGAGGGGATTACTGGGCCACAGTTTTGTCCTAGAGGGCATCGTCTCCCTCCTCTAAACTTTGACCTCGGTTTGGGAAGCGACAACGCAGAGTGCTCCGCAATTATGCTGGACTCCTTTTTGTTAGGCGCCCTAGTATGGTGCTACATGCCTCTCATTTTTATTCCTTTGGAGATGAATCCTCTTCATTCGAATCAGATTTCGGCCGCACTATTAGTTCACTAGGAGCGTATACAGTACCTGAATACGAATCACGCGTTGTGAACGAATGAGCCATTTTGGTAAGCTACAACAAGTCTGACTCGCGTCGCTTGCGGCGAAAGAGGTGTTGCAAATGATGTCATGCACGCGGCATTCGCACCAGATTCTAGTTAGTTTGGTGTGGCAGCGTTGCTGCGTGCCCTGTCAGCTGTCTGGGAAATGTTCTGTTAGTTGGCGCATAAAGGCATAATTTGGAATGCTCAAGTTTGAATGAAGGCCGCACTTGCTGGAGGGTGGCCCAAATTGTGTCATACAACCTTCGAAAAGCTCATTATTATTGGTTATGCTAATTTACCTGATGAAAGCTGGAAGTGCGGCATTGTCTCGCGGTTGTGTGGATTGGCTCCTAGCGCGAATGCTGCGCTCGCTTGCAAACCTCATCTCATCGGGCTTGTACCAGCTCAGAACTAACGACTTACACCCTTACCCTTGCGAACTAACGACTTACACCCTTACCCTTGCGCATTACATCGTTTTTCTGCTTTTTCTTATTCTTCGGAATTTCAGGGACATTCACGATGACTATGATGTTGGCTGTAACGGATATTCTATGGACTACCGGATAAAAGAGCAACAACGGTCAGTTCAGTTTCATTTCTTACTTTGTTATTTGAAAAGGGGTCATGAGAAAGGGAGGTGTGTACTATTATCACCGCAGATAAGCTCAATTTTTGCTGAAAGTTCGCGCTCCAAAAGATAATCTCGGCGCCCTGATCACGATTATCACATTCCTTATTTGGCGTTAGTGCCATTTATCGCCATTATACGGTTTTGGCGCTGTGAGGCAGAGCCTGAAAGCAATGGTTCCTCTCCGCCGGCTCAGCCGTAGTGCAGGGGTGCAGATGATCTGTGGCCGCTACACTGGGCGGCCAGTGCCACGGAGTAATGAATTTCGTTCGAGATCGAAATCGATAACGAATTTATTGTCGGCAGTTAGGCAGGTCCGACCTACAAGCTAATGAATGTCTGCTACGATTCCTTTTTCAGAATCCTCCAAAGTGTTCGCAGTGAACTGATTGACTCATCTGCTAAACTCAAAGAGGTCAATGTTGTTTATGAGGAGCTCAATAAGAAGATCCCTGAGAAACGTTAGTACTCTCAATTTTACTTAGATTTCCGACATAATAAATGGTGCGAATAAGTCTCAGACCTTCTGCTACGCTTCTCACATCACGTGAGTTGCGTGAGCTTTACTCCTTCCAAAGCCTGCTGTACAGTTTTGCTATACCTGGATTGATGACGTATGACTGTTTGCCGTCCCTGCCACAGATTGGGCCACGAGGCGACGCATTGAGGTGGGTTGTCGGGAACTTTGTGTGAGACCACGTTGTTCGGATGGGAAGATAAAGCGGAACACACGTGCCTACCAGTTTTTTCAGGCTCCTTCTTCTTTGGAGAGATTGCATTCATCTCTTTAATATTAGCGCTTTGTAAGGAGCAAGGCGACCTGAGGCCCGCAAGCGATTCGTAATCAAGGAGGTGGCGTTCATACTCTGCGACTCGGGACAGCGCTGGTTTAGAAGTTTTACTTTGAGAGAATCGGAAGAATGCAATTTCTCAGAGACTGCTCAAAATAATGGTGTGGTAAGCCTGACGTTTTGAGGGCATAAAAGATTTGTTGCTGTAGAGGAAACGGGAGTGTAAGAGAGCAGCAAACTGGGGCATTATAAGATATCATAAGATAGCGCATCATAAGATAGCGACATCCGTAAAAGGTGGGACTAAAGATTTTTGTCGCAATCTTATGACGCCTAGTGTGGCAGTCTGCTACTGTCTTATTCTTACTCTCTTATTCTCTCATTCTCTCTATAACGACCACTCTTCCATTCCCTTACGCCAGACCAATACCTATACGTTTCTTTTCGCGCCGTTGCTGAATCGCGAATTCTCTTAAAGACAGCCCCCGCGATCAAAGTGGCTCGTGGTCGCCTTTGCTGTGCAAGTAGTCTAGCCTCCAAGCTAGAAGACTGTTCACCTTTCGCGACTCTATTGTGAGCGTGGAGGCTGCTATAGCCGCTCAAAGTGCTAGTTCTAACTCCTCCTCAGTCGGACCGCCTTTACTTGGCCGGCCCCTAGAAAGGGTTGCCTCCTTCCGACGGAGGCCACTCACTTGTTCTTAGTTGGGGCGGCGGGCATTGCTAATGCCCCTGGATAATTCTGCTCTCCTTCATTACAGTTTACTCATTGGAGGTATATACATTCAATTCAACCCATTTCGCGAGGTGAAACGCGTAAAAACACGAGTGACGCAATTTTCGTGATGCAAAACCACGACGCACAAAAGGTGCGCTACCGTAATCACAAATTCAGACACCGTGTTGATAAAATTCCTTTTTCCTTCCCAGAGTTTTTCCTCTGCGTTTTTGTTGTTTTCTTTTTGTATTCTTTTTTTGCACTGGATGATATCAACTACTGCGAGATGTGATAGAGAGATTTGTGAGCTAGGGGCTTGCACAGAGACCGCAGGGAGGTGTAACTGTGAGGGAGCGATTTTGTTTATGTTGTTCTGGAGAACGCTTCTTGCCTGTTTTCTTCTTTGGGAGATTACTTATCAGCTGCTGTTTCATAATTGGAAAGCAGCTATCCAGCTATCGAACTTTTATCGCGGAGCTGTGCTTTAAATGCCCACTTCTCGCGACTCGCTAGCATGAACGCAGCCGGAGCACAGCGGAAGTACTTCATCGCACTGCTGCGTGGGCCCCCATCAGGTACCGTAGCACTAGTAAGCCTGCCTTGCTTTGGCCAAACTCTGAGACTCCATATTCTAATGTGGTTTTATGGCCAAGTTATCCATTTGCATTACATTTTGCTTACTTTTATAGAAAACTTGATTTTTTGACATTTCCTTTCCATCTGTCAAATTAGCGCTCTAGGTTATCCCATTACCTCGAGATTCAATGAAAATTATTATTAACTGATTATTTCAGAATTAGAACTGAGCGCTGTACTGGACGAGATCGAGAGTGCGAGACGAACACTGAAGGAGCTTCGGGATCAGCGTAATGTGCGGATTTTTCTTCCACATAGGCCTTTGTACCCAAACGTCATTGAGGTCTCGAACTCATTTCATGCTTCTCCTTTGAACTCATTGCCCCTTTCATGGGAGACTGCCATTGATTATAGGTGAGTCCTTCCTGCTTTCTTCAAGTATGACTTGAAAGTTCTACTGAAATATTTCAGTCGCTGCTCCATAACCTCTTTTATGCCTTTGTACATATACCCGTTATTGAAACCAAATGCTCAACTAGAAGAATTCATGACCGAACTCCTTTCACAAGGGAATATTGTTTCGAATCCAAGTATAGCATGTTTATTGGTATGTTTACATTTTATTCATCTGCTTTGTTTGTTTGGGTTTTTGTCCGATGCTACTAAGCTAACTGCCATGCTTTTCAACGGGCTAGGAGCTTTTTTTTCCAACAGTTCCACCGCGTTCACACTTCGGACTCGAGCGATACAGTTGTGCTTTTGCGAACAACTGCGCTCCGTTAATCTTAAGACCGCTCAACAGCCCAACGTTTGCGGCATGGAACGCGTCTGCGTCGCTAGTAAGTTTCGCCGCATATGAACGGATTTAAACTTGCAGCGATTCAACGGTTAGCAATGGAGTGCCCGTCACAGTCTCGCAATTCTAGCAATAATTTCACGCGGATAAATCGCTCAAGTCTGCGAACGCAGCCTTCGTGAAAACTGTAAACGGCTTTCTTTCAGGTAACGGGCCTTACGCGCAGGCGAAATTAATCATTTCTCCGAAGTATCCATCTTATCTGGAGGTGGAAACCATGTTATTATTAATATAGGAAAATCGTTTTATCCCAAAAATTCTTCGCTGTTGATGGTGCAACAAACTAATCCGCCTTTATGGAGGTACTACGTTACTTCGCCTTTATTACGCGTTTACGACGTTTTTTTGTTTGTTTGTACTCCTTCTTTAGCCGCTTTGTGGATTGCAAAGAGTCTGTAGAAAGAGGCAGAAACGTACCAGGGTAACGCAAGCGCGCTTGCCTGCTCTCTTCGGTATGGCGCCAAGAAGGGCTACTCGGGTGCAACAACCTAAGGAACTGTGGCGAGTCCATAATCAACTGAAACAAGCTCTAGCATAATTTTTCTTTCAGGGCCTCTTGACTACGATTATTTCTCGAAGTCCCTATTCTATAATGCCTCTTCTTGGCACAGTTAAGATCTAATACCCATTTTCAAACGGAAAGGTCAGCGACTCTTAAAAGATTAATCAAGCGAGCTCCTCATTCGTTTTTCTCCAATTTTACAGTATTATATTGTTGCTAGTTTGCAATTCCGTCCAATAGTTCATTCCGGCCAATATTTTCATTAGGGTGAATTGTGGTGCGCAAATCTTTTAGGATAGAGAGGGAGCGTCTCTTAATATTTCTGCTACTATCCCGTGCAGTTAGCTGGGCGGAGGACAACCAACCGTTGAGCCTTTAATCACCCAGAATGAAGATATTTAGGATGACAGCCAGGTAATCTTTGAATTTTCAAAAGAGTTTTGGGAAATATTGGTCATGGAGCGGCATTTACGGAGACTTCTTGAGCATAGCGTATAAGTAAGAAGACGCGTGCTTTTTAATTTCGGATTACCCACTTCCCCACCCCCCCCCCCTCCGAACAGCCGTTTAGGCTCAGGCAAAAGTCTTCCAAAGTCCATAGAGTGAATCCCAGTTTTGCTCAAGGATTATTAGGGTTTATTATTGGATATTAGGATTATCATCATTATTACCTAATGCATTCTAATCTAATTTTTTTTTTCTAATTTTTTTGCTCAATTTATTAGTCGGCGGTACCACTGAACTTAGTAGGGGCGCAGTTCGGCGACGGGAGGGGAGGGGTGCATTTTGCACTTTCTCTGCTTCCCGTAGTGTCGAGCCATTAAGCTGAGACTCGTGAAATCTTGTGAACCCATCAGTCAAACTTCGTAGAAAGTACTTGTCACATCTTGTAAATACCTGTAGCTCATGTAAAATAATGAAGACGAGGGGGAGAAGCAGCGAAATTGCAAAGTGCCCCCCTCTTCCCCTGTCCCCCCCCCCGCTCGTTGCCAAACTGCGCCTTAGTTTGTCCTCCATCATGTTTAATTACGATTTTTCAGCAGCTAATTCTAATATTGTTTGAAAACGAACCAGACACGCCTAACCTGCTCTTCTCTGGTGATCTCTCACGCCTGAGTAACTCAGCATTGTCAGCGGGTGATAGAATACTATTTCTAAATTGTTCTAGTCCTTCAACTAGGGAGTCGTGTCTTCTTCAGAGAGGTTAATACCGGCTTTCCTTCTTCCTTCTCTTCCTTTCATTGTTTAGGTTTTTTTTTCTCTTAGTGCGAATAATGCTTACTTTCAGAACAACACATGCATGACTCTACTTTCTGTATTCTCTTTAGTTCGCTCAATTTTACTCGTTATTTTTGGCAATCTTTACGAAATGGGTGTATTCCCGTGGTCCTTTCTACGAGTGTTCGCTTGCCTTTTCAAGGTAGGGATTCGACTTTTTGTACTGGAAGCTGCTTCATAACTTTAGCGAATTATCGCAATTTTCTCGTGTATCCGAAAGCTCTCATTGATTTTTCTGATTTAGATAATATTGACTGGAATCTTGCCTCGATACGCGTCGCGTCGAGCCGATTTCCAGAACTTCATTTCATTCTTCGTTCGTTTGAAATGGCTGAAGGTATTGGAAATGCGACGAATGGGACGTTTCTTCTTTGAGCGCTATTTGGCAAATACTAAAGGTAAGGACTGCACTTAATGTGACGTGCATTGGGAATACCCAGCGAAGAACGGGGGGGGGTCTATGACTTGACGAGAGAAAGGTAGGAGGAGTATAGGTAGACTACTTTTCTCGTTTTTCCTGTTTTCACTGGCGCTGTCAGCCCCGCGCTCGTTCTTCCGTCTGCCATCCGTTTGTCCATCTGACGGCAGTTTTCTGTGGGCGGATGAACTTTGGAAAAAATCCTGAAAAAAATGATAGGAAGGCAAGTTTCCGTAAGCAATATGGAGGATGTTGAGTGGGTTGTACCGGTGAAGAAAATTTTGAGGGGGGCGTACTTCGCAAATTTTTCCCAACGGCAGGATGTACCCATTCTGCTCTACTCCTGGCGCCCTACGATCTTTAGTCGTACCATGTCTACCATTTTCACTAATAACTGCGGCAACTTCGCAGAATTTAATTCTATTTTCTGTTTCAGTGGTAGTCAAAACGCTGTTGGCGTCCTTACGTAAAAATCTCGGGCTTCCTTCACCGGCTGAAAATGTTGTCAGTGTGAGTTATTTACCATACATGTCATCTTTTATTTGATTACTTTTCGATTATTTTTTTTATGAATTTATGCTATTACTATTTGCCCTTTATTGCCTACCCCCCCCCCTTCCCGCCGTCACAATGAGACCGATAGAAGGACTCGGCTTCGGAGACGCGGGAGGGCCAGAGTCAAGCATTTTTACCTACGCTTAGTTTCTGTTTGCAGCTTCTGCCTGACTCTCTAACTCTTGTGCAAAGATTATTGATAATTGATATGATAATGTTATTTTTTCACAAGTATGTACAGTTTTCACAAAAGCAATGCGGTAAATGACTGATGGGAACCAGCAGAATCCCCTACACTCACCCCTCCCACACCAAGCCGAAATGCGCCAAAAATTGCGATAGAACAGTGGCGACGTCTTATTTGCCCATGGCGTTGAATTCATGTTCGGGGACTCATGGTTTGGAACTCTCTCCAGGTCTGATTCCACAATGACTGGTGATTTTACTTCCTCGGAATAGAGGTATTGGGAATCCTTTTGCGGGAAAAGCTATGGTCCCTGAACGAGAGCATCATTCCGCTTGCGTTCTGGCGCCAGCCCCCAAATGCGCGCAGCATTTACCTGACACACCGCAAGGCTAGCCCGAGGAGGGAGCACCAAGTGTGGCTTTCGGTTTTCCATCATTAGCCCGTTTCGAGGGTGCGTAAGATCAAAGTGATGTGCATTTTTACACGGACCAAAGAGCCGGTAGTGCTGATGAAATGCTATTTTTTATTTTAAGGCTGTTCCTTTGTTCAATAAGTCCTTCACTGCGCCTATTCTGACACCAATAAACGTGCAGCCCATGGATGACGAATACCTCGGTAGTTTCACTTGATGATTCTTGCTTTCCTTACCATTTTCTTCATTGGCTACTATTTCAGGCCCTCTGGAAGCAGCTGTTGACTCACCAACATATCTCCACAATTTCTCTTCTATCCACATGGTGAGAGCGCAAGTTGTAGATTTGGAACGTTATAGAATTTCGCCAACTCAACTGAAAATAGAAATTTCAGTATTCATATCGAATTTGGAATAAGTTTGGTGTATCTGGTAGAGCTCCCGAATTCCTAGTACATTCAGCGGATCCACCAACAGAATCGGAATTCTATTCTGATTCCAACGTAGGTATGTGCTTTTTACGTAATTAATGTAATTAACAAGAATATTCGGAATGAAAACTGTTTGACAAGATGTATATTTCGCGTGATTGTTTTTCCTCTAGGATTCCGTCCTATTGAACCCGGATCTGGTGTTGAATTCAGCAAAGCTCTTGGAGGTAATCGTGCTCGGGAACAGTTCACAGGTAGAGTTGATAATTGTCTTCCTTCCAGTTTTACCGCTGCTCCATTTGTCGCAGCTCGTCATAGACGACATACACGGGTGTTGGACGTGAGACGGTCTTTAGGAACACGCGACGTCGCGTGCGCCGCAATCCGCAAACACCGCGTGCTTGCAATGAAGTGCACGCTCGCGATGAACTCACTGCGTTACTGAATTGTATTCGTTTCAGTTCTCTTCACTCTGGTAGGGCTTGGATTGTCAGGACTGTTAGGCTTTTTTTCATTTGCGTAAGTAGTGATTACATAGCAATATTGTGCAGAAAAACCTGCACAGATTCTGCTTGTGAGTTAATTCAGCATGTCTGCTAAATTCTAATCATTTGACTGTCAGAAATGCTTTCTGGACAGCAGATGTGCTTGTTGTTGTATGGTTGATAAGACGGACTGTCGTGGAAAAAAGACTGCGGAATGCCACCGTCGCCATAATAGAGTCCGAGCGCGCGCCATTCGTAACCATGCAGTATTTGCAATTGTCGCGAGCGACGCCGCATGGTCCTATCGTCACATACCCGTTTAGACAGGGCCATCAAGGAAAACTTTTAACGAGTTGTTCCCAAAAATTTGTGGTTATTTTCGTAGCGAATATATTGCAGCCGGTCGTAATACACGTCTTGCTTTGATACATCCTGCGGCAAAGAGGTTAACCCATTGCGTACCGCAGTGTATTTGCGCGACGCGATTTCTGGCGCGCTGAGTATAAAAACATAAGATTTTATCTTATACATATAACATAAAAATATTGCACACACATCGTATTATGCATCACTTTTATAAGTATACGTATGCTAAAGGGGATTCAATATTGTTACGTGATAAAAGTGTAAAGCCGAAAAATGCGAAACTAGCCAAAAAAGCTTGATAAAATTAAGAGGAGTTGAAAAAGTGACGCAGTGTGCTTAGAAGCTGTTCACTCACACCATTTTACAATTTTTTCAGTCGTATACTAAGCAGGATTTCGGTTTTATTGGTAAAGGAGAGTTAATTAAAAAATGTAATAGTTGAGGTATTACTCGAAAAATGCTAGCAACATAGCTATTATTCAATCTCGCAATTTCCCCCACATATTTTGTCCCTGACGACTTCAGGAATATACCTACTCTTTCCAGTCATCTAACAATGCTAAATGAGTTCACACTAAGAGTGCTTCACCATGTGCAGCACGCGGTACGCAATGGGTTAACAAGGGGGCGGCGTGAGAGCGGCGAGGTTCTAAACCGAAGAGAGGCAGGATCATAAAAGAGGAGAGCTGGCACGAGAAAACGCGGCCGACGTCAATGTGCCCCTTTCATTTGGAGCAAGTGATTCACTTTGCCAGCTGCGCCTCAGAGGACGCTCAGTAAGCGTGTATTCTGTAGGATTGCGGGATCACAATTGATCGAGCCGTTAGACATGTACGTGGAAATGGGGGAGAGGAAATTTTGCTTTAGAGCGGGTCGCGGCTAAAGAGCATATGGGATTTGCTAAGTTTTGGTTGCCAGCAACCTACCTGTGAAGTCCGCCAACTTACCAAGGAACTTTGAATGGAGACTGGGTATGATAGAGATCGTAAGGTTATTTACATATATAGATAGCAAAACTGCAACCTGCATTTCACAAGAAACTCTGAACAGGTAAATTCGTAGTTGCAGTATAGTGGAGGCTTGGTGGTGAGAAGGATAATCGAGGAATCATATGTCGATGAATCGAGTCGTGGTGGTTCATTGGTAAGGTTCGACGCTCGAATCGACGTATGTGATTCTTCGGCTATTCCAGCAGTAATAATCAGCCAAGCGCTCCACTGCTAACCGTGCCTTACACAAGCTTTACTGCTCATAAGTTGCTTGTTAAATGCAGGTTACAGTTTTGCTATCTAATATTTGTGAATAGCCTTACTGACTCTATCGGTCTAACCGGTCTCCATTCAAAGTTTCATGGTAATTTGGCGAACTTCCCTGTTTAGGAAAACAATATAATTGACTAATCAGCGACCGAAACCTGGTGCAGGTATGCATCTGAAGAGTCCCCGAGTTCGAAGCTATTCCCAATTTTCTAGTGGTTCTACTTACCTACAACCGAGATGCTGTACTAGCCGCTTCACTGGAACGACTTCATCGGATTCCCTATCTGAATAAGGTTATCGTCATTTGGAACAATGTTGATCGAGAGCCTCTTGGAGCATGGCCACGTCTACATGTACCGGTGGAGTGAGTTTTATTACCCGCCGAATGACGTTTTATTGCAGTTTTTGGCACAGTTTTGCTTGGTGGGGGCCCCGAATAATGGATAGCCGAGTTTTTACAGGACATCTTTTTGGTCACAAGAATTCACAGCCTGATGACATTTGAATTGCTGTGACTAAAGTGGCTCACTCTCACCCATTTCGCAGCTTCACAGTAGCTTACAGGTCTCGTCAATACGAGTCGTATCATTAAACATGTTGTAACAAAAGGAACTAGCGGAAGTGCAAAATGCCCCCTCCAAGCAAAGGCGCCCGGTTTTGTATAGTGGGAACTGGGAGAGCACAGATGCAAGTGTCTCAAAGGTTTTTTCATGAGACTATAAAATGAAGTCGTTACGGTTTGTTGACCAATCTTGAATAATCGATTATTCAGGCGTTTTTGAAAAGTGTACAGCTTTTGGTCAACAAAGCGTAACGACTTCATTTTATGGCCCCATGAAAACCATAGGTTTAGAGGAGCATTTTGAAGTTTTCTGGGCAATAGATATTTCTGGTGGAGAGGATTCGCCTCTACATCTCTTCCTATTCCTTATAGCCATACCACTTTTATTTATAAACTTAAAACCAGAGTGCAGGCTGCCAAAGTCGCGTAGAGACTTTGCTTCTGCAAATAACTCGTGGCG